ATATATATATATATATATATATATATATATATATATATATATATATATATATATACATTAGAAAAATAAACCTTCTGTTTATATGTATATGCTATGCTTATATCTGCGCGTGTATGTGTGTATTGGTGCATGTTTTCACATTTATAATTATCAAGAGTGGCATGTTTAGCCATGTATATATAAAAAGAGTTAGATGCAAAGCATATGTGGAGACTGATGGATAAATGGAGGCATGCAATTATATACATATATTTTGTAGAAAGTCTATATGTGTAAATATTTACAAATGCGTACAGGAAGACATTGTTTCAGAAACATATAAGATTATAAGACTAGAAAACTATATGGATAGAAATGTATGTAATAATTAGGAAGAAAAGATGCTTTATATAAAAAGAAGTATTATATATTATATACATTAATATATTCATACAAATATGTATATATATATATATGTGTGTATATATATATATATATATATATATATATATATATTATTCTATTTTATACTGTTGTATGAATCTTAATTTATTTATGTATACATATATATATATATATATATATATATATGTGTGTGTGTATATATATATATATATATATATATATATATATATATATATATATATATAGGTATATATACATGAAAATAACTTAAATGAATAAATATAGATATAAGCAACCACGTACGTGCGATCATGCGCATATATAAATTTACAAATTAATATAAAATAAAGAATATCAGCTTTATAAGTACCTGAAGATTATACTTAACATGAAACTATCGACGTCAGTGTTTTTTGTTTTAGAATCAATGTTTCTTGTTTTTGAGTCAATGTTTCATGTTTTTGAGTCTGTGCGTCTTGTTTTTAGTGTCAGTGTTTCTTGTTTTTGAATCAGTGTTAATTCTATTTGAGTCAGTGTTTCTTGTTTTTCAGTCACTATTCCTTGTTTTTGAGTCAATGTTTCTTGTTTTTGTGTCAGTGTGTCTTCTTCTTGAATCAATATTTCTTGTTTTTGAATCAGTGTTTGTTGTATTTGAGTCAATGTTTCTTCTTTTTGGGTCAATGTTTCTTGTTTTTGAATCAATGGTTTTTATTTTTGTGTCTGTGTGTCTTGTGTTTGGTGTCAGTATTTCTTGTTTTTAGTCAGTGTTTTTTTGTTTTTGAGTCAATGTTTCTTGTTTTTGTGTCATTGTGTATTGTTTTTGAATCAATGTTTCTTGTTTTTGAGTCAATGTTTCTTGTTTTTGGGTCATTGTTCCTTGTTTTTGATTCAATGTGTCTTGTTTTCGAGTCAATGTGTCTTGTTTTCGAGTCAATGCTTCTTGTTTTTTAGTCAATGCTTCTAGTTTTTGAGTCAGTGTTTGCTGTTTATGAGTCAGTTTTTTTGTTTTTCCGTCAGTGTTTCTTGTTCTTGAGACAATGTTTCTTGTTTTTGCATCAGTGTTTCTTGTATTTGAGTCAATGTTTCTTCTTTTGTGGTCAATGTTTCTTGTTTTTGAGTTTGTGCATCTTGTTTCTGGTGTCAGTGTTTCTTGTTTTTCAGTCAGTGTTTCTTGTTCTTGAGTCAATGTTTCTTGTTTTTGAGTCAATGGTTCTTGTTTTTATGTCAGTGTATCTTGTTATTGAGTTAATGTTTCTTGTTTTTCAGTCTGTGTGTCTTGTTTCTGGTGTCAATATTTCTTGATTTTGAATTAGTGTTTATTGTTTTTAAGTCAGTGTTTCTTGTTTTTGAGTCAGTTTCTTGTTTTTGAGTCAATGTTTCTTATTCTTTTGTCAATGTTCCTTGTTTTTGAGTCAGTGTTTCTTGTTTTTTTTAGTAAGTGTTTCTTGTTTTTGAGTCAGTGTTAGGTCTATGTGAGGTTCAGAGTTTACCCATGAATAGCACAAACAGAAGCACCTGTGTCATGGGAATTCACTGTAGGAATTGAGTTTTAAATACTTACAAGCAATCTTGTCTACAGATGGTACCTGCAACTCGTAAATCCGCACACGGATTAGCGCACCTATGGTAGCGATGGCCAAATTGGTCAGAATATGGTGCAGCAAAATCAGCTTTCAAACGGAGTACAAACTGTACAAGTCTCCATTCTTCTATATGGATGTGAAACGTGGACACTGTTGGCAGATACAGAGAGAATGGTCTCAGCGTTTGAGAATAAATGTATGAGAAAACTCGTTGATATCTTCTATTGGGAACAAAAAAAAACAATGAGAAAAATAGTTGAAAGCTTTTTGGGCCAGCATGAACTACTTCTCGCCATTGTCAAACGGAGAAAAATGGCATAGTTTGGATACACTACAAGGCCCGACAGCTTGTACAAGACCATTATGCAAGGCACTGATGAAAGTGGACGTAGGAAAGAACGCCAACGCAAAACCTGGCTGGACAATGTCAAACAATAGACAGGTATGACTGTGCCAGAATTAATGATAGCTGCCGTTGATAGATCGCTGTAGTGGAGATTCAATATGGCTCCTGCATTCGGACCCCACCTCTAAGTTTACAAAAATCAAGGGTTTACAGTGATATACACGGACTCTAGAACCTTGAGGTGACATGAGGAGTGGAACATCGATAAAATGGAAAAACGGTCCACCCTAAAATCAAAGACACAATTCCTACTATTTATAACATGCTCTGTAATAGAAGAGCCAGAACTATATATATATATATATATATATATATATATATATATATGTGTGTGTGTGTGTGTGTGTGTGTGTGTGTGTGTGTGTGTAGGGTCTTAATGTTTTTATTTTTTTCATATTGGTTTAGAATATCTGTAAACCGTGGATGGCTTAGTGACACCGAGCCATTAGAGTTTTAAAAGGGTCAAAGGTAACTGACATGGACGGGTGGAAGCCACCCGAATATTGGAAAAGGATAATCTGCATCATGATGATTCGTACTGGGCATCAAAATGCCGCAATCATGGCAGGTGCACAATGGCCTTTGAACACCGAGAAAACAATAAGACGGGAAAATGAAAACCTTCAACCATGTCTACGAGATCGTGGCTTGTAGGGAAGAACACAGAAGGCGTTCTGACTGCCCCCCGTACACCAGAATTTACAGGGGAAGGTGATAGAAGAACCAGGCACCGGGTTTTGAGAATGGAAATACGTGTTGCAATTTCCACCATGACGATTGAATGAGTCATTCAAGAGGTGTAAAGGTCAACTTCTTACAGAATAGGATCGAGAAAATCGACTGACAAAGGCAACGAAACCTCTAAAGAAGGTGAAATATACCCTTAAACCAGGGACAATCTGGTTCTTCTCTGATGAAAGAATTTTTTGTCCGGACCAGCTGCACAACACCGAGAACAACAAATATCTTGCCTACAATCCATATAAATTTCTCCGTGTCATAAAGACCAAATTTCCCTAAATGCCGCAATCATGGCAGCTGCTCAATGCCTTTTGAACACCGTGAAAACAATAAGACGTGAAAATGGAGAGCTGAAACAATGACTAGGTGGCCGTAGCTTGTAGGAACGAAAGAAGTAGACGTTCTGATTGCCTCCGTAGAACAGAATTTCTACAACGGTTTCAGGAGAATGTGACAGAAGTCTCAGACAAGCAGACGTTCGCTTTGGGGCAGGAAATGGTTTTTCAACCCGCCCAGGAGCTGAAGCTGGCCTTAAATGAGGACCTCTACTATCTGTCATACAAGAGGTGTAAATATCAACTTCTTTCAGAACAGGTTTGAGAAAACCGCTTGAAAAAGGCGAAAAAAATCCAAAACAAGTTCCTGTTGAAACAGCGACAATCTGATTCTTCTCTGATGAAAATAATTTTGTCGAGTCAAGCTGCACAAAAACCAGAATAATAGATGGCTTGGTCTACAATCCATATGTATGTATATGCGCATGTTTGCATATCTATCTATCTATCTATCTATCTATCTACCCTTTCTTTTTCTTTTCTTACCTATTCTTATCTATCTATCTCTCTATCAATCGATCTATTTATCTATCTATCCTTTGTTTTCCTTTTTCTTATCTATCTCAGTCTCTTCACTATCTATTTGTCTCAGTCTATCCACTCTCTGTCTCAGTCTATTTATCTATCTATTCCATTCTATTCATAATGTATGTATGTATGTATGTATGTATGCATCTATCTATCTATCTATCTATCTATCTATCTATCTATCTATCTCATTCTGTTCATATTTATCTCATTCTGTTCATATCTACCTATCTATCTATCTATCTATCATAATTTGTTCATATCTATCCATCTATCTATCTCAGTCTGTTCATATCTATTTATGTAACTCAACCCACACGACTGAAGATTTTCTGTCACTGTGCGTTTTTATGGGACGAATTATTTCCAGTTAAATATTCTATATATCTGTGTACATCTAGTTAAATATATATGTTTGTATACGTTTGTGTTTGTATGTGAGCGCGTGGCTGTTTGTAAAAATGCTTCACATAGACTCACTGGCTATAACGAAGACTAAGTTTCATTGATGATTCTAGGGTGTGGCCCCTGTTAGGGTGATGTCATGCCACCTCAGGGCCTCAGGCTCAATTCCGATGGAAGCAAGATTCAGCTCCCTGTCACACCTCCAGGTAGAATCAGAAGTGTTGTCAGAAATTTTTTACGACCATCAGTCCTAACGTCTGGCCTCCAAACTCGCATGTGATACGGTTGTGAAAGACATCAATCGGGGTGCCTGTGTAACACCAAGGTTTACCTGTTAGGCAGGATTAAGGTCACGTGTTGAGGCTTTCACTAGGGACACCAGGAAGGCCGCAAAGCCAGATTCCGGAGTCAAATCGAGGCAGTGGAAGATGCTGAGAGTGACTTCTTAGGGTGAATTATCTTTTGATTGGTATTATCTGGATTTTTTCTTTTTGTCATATTAAAATTTCAAATAAAAAAACATGTCTCACTTTAGTTAACCAAGTGTAATATTTTTTCTCTTATTTAAAGTAAAAATAACTACTTTTTGAGCCAATATAAAAACTTGCCAGGTCACCG